TGCAACCGACCTTCGAATCTCTTCACCCAACACTTCCACTCGAAATGGAGGTAAGCTCAACAATTAAGAAACAAGAGATTCCTCGAAACCCAACTTTTCTTGCTATTGTTATACCATTCTTTTTTCTTGACTCCGCCACAGACTCCAACCTTGCCTCAGCACCAGTTGTCAGTGGTCTTCACTCCAGTGGTCTTGAGCAGGTGCGCTACTGGCGCTCTGTAGCCACTGCAGCAAGAGCCGAGGCTGCAGGCCAGAGATCAAGGGCCCATAGTCTGGCCGCAGAGCTCGCCCACCTACGTTGTGATCTCGACATGGCCGAACTTGAAATCGGCTTACTTTGGCAGCGACTGGCCAGCTCACAGGCTGATCTGGCCGATTGTCACGCAGTTCTGACCGCTTCTCTCCGGTTAACCCAGAAAAAGCAACAATCCTTGCCGATCCCCATTTCCTTGTCTAGTGCGCTACCGCAAATCAAGCTAGCTGAGGCGGGATTAAGGCCCCCACAGTCAAAACTTTGGCCGGAGTTCGAGCCGTCTCTAAGCACAAGGACGTTATGCAATCCCAGTTGCAATCAATCGAGGGGTTCGCAAATGCTACAGACCGAGTTGCCACCTTAACAGTCACAGTACTGTCCTGTTAAAGGCATCCCTTAGGACCCTAAGCTGCCGATCGATTTGTTCACTCTAGATAAGTCCTTTTTGCTAGCAACTCGCACCCCTTCTCCTCATTCGTTGTTGCCCTGTCCCTTTTTCCGCTTCTCTTCTGTCGGACTTTTCGGCCAAACTTGCCACTAATTTTCCTGTCTTTATCCACCAGAAGTAGAGTACTGAGTACTTTTCGTTCGAGCTTCCATCAAATCATTCAATCAAATTTAGCTCTCCTGTTGGCGCCCCAGCAGGTCAGCTCAACACATTTCATGCTCCAACACTCTGAATATCGAAATTATCAGGTGGTGGGAATGAACTTCTTTCTCCAGCATTTATCAGCAGGGGAAGATTTTTGCGCAACAGTGAAAAAACCTGCAAACTACGTGCGAAATGGCCATTCTATTTTTTCATTGTATTCTGATCCCTCCTGGTTTTCTTAAGTCTCCAGTTGAGCCTTGCGGTTATTCACCTCCGCGCTACTCATCTATTATCCCAATCATCTATTTGTTTGCTGATTCCCATACATATCTTTATCTATGTTTTTATCTTATCCATCTACTTCAACTTTCGTATCCGTAATAATCTCACTCAAAGAATTCGACTCACATAATATAGGATCGCTGGTCTGCTTTGTTCATTTTTATTTTAAACTTATCCCCGGTTCGTGCTCTGATTAAGCTATCTTTGACACTGGACCAGTGAATTTATCTCGTATAGTTGTATAAGTGCTCTGAACATCAAGCTTGTTTTAAGATTGGCCAAAACCAATGAGTCTAATAAAATTCAGTCTTCTTATAAACCTTAGTTGTATTTTATCTATGTCTAAATTGGAGATTAATAAGAATGGTCTTAATGATAGGAATGGTTCTGCTCGTCTGATATAAATTTATGCTCATCTTGCCTGAGCTTGCATTGCACGGAAGTTCATACTTCTGAGTGCTGTTTTCTTTGAGAACTGTTCCGATTTTCATTGGTTTGCTTTTAGCGTCACAGTTATTATCTTCACTCACTTCCCCCTTCCCCTTATAAACAACTTATCTACATTTTTACGTCTTAGCATTTATTTTTCATCACCATTGTGAGCTTCATATTTTCTTAATTACGTGTTGGTTTGCCTGTCTGTTCAAAACATTTTCCGAATTTCTCGCTATTTTCATTTTTTTAACCTGTTTGTCTTCATCTCCAGATGCTATATCTAATTTTCCAACTACATTTCTACGTTTATATATATATATATATACATATGCCCAAATATGTACGTCCTACTCCCTTTGATAAAATAGCCCTCAAGATTATTTATAGACATTTAATTCTCTGAAGTTCTTTACGTTCAATCGAGATTTTCCTTGTATACAATTATTCTTTTATTCATATAAACATTTGTGATAACTTTGCATGGTACTTTTTGTGCCCCCTCTCTAATCACTGCATGATCATCACATATTTCCTGTACAGAGGGCTATATCTCGTGAAACCATTATATTATTATTTAGCTATGCCTTTATCTTATTCCACCTTTCAGGTTTTCGTTGTCACTGCTTGTTCTGCTCAGTTAAACAGCCAGCATTTAGACTTGGATTAACGAATGTCAGAAATTGAGGTGGAAGCTGTCGGCTAGGCTTTGTGATAGGTGGAGAGAGGGTGAGTGGGGAAAATCTCTGAACCACGGGAAGATGTCTCCTTAGGACCCTCATACCTCACGTGACTTAAATATTTGATGCATACAATAGACATTGTCACATTCCTGAATATGCGTCAACATTAAGCTGGTTTAGAGGTTCTTTGATCTTTTTTTCGCAACTTACTCTTATTGGTAGGAAGACTTAGAGGAACGCACCTACTCCGGAATCCATTGTGTGCATGGTCATTTCCAAAGTCTGACCGTGGATGTGGTACATTCCCAGACGTTTCGCCGGCATCGTAGTCGGCATCGTCAGTAAGTCTCACCATTCAACAACTCGTTAAAGAGACGAGTAAAGCTGATAGTTTGACCAAAACGTATGCTAAACAGTTGTGGTATCTCTCCTGCCCTGGGATATTCACATTTCCTATACCCTCCTGTCACGCCCTTACTGTTACAATATTTTTTCCGTGCTTATTTCGATGTAGTGTGGTGTGCTTCTTTGAGTGGCATTCATGAAAGCCCTTCACACTTCACGCTGTAATTCTCACCCCCTTCACTCTTGTGCTGGGAATTTTTATCAGAGTCTGCCATATTGTTATGCAGTCCTCCTTCCCTAATTCTTATCACATTATCTCTCTTGCCCCGTAAGATCCGTCTGCTATCTTTCTGGTTCATGTATTCCACTCAACCTCTGCCACCCCATCTGTGTCACTTGAGGCGTTATTCGCCCTCCGTGCGTCTGAGTGACTAATTCGAGGCTAAAGTCTCTGAGTAAGTCTCATGGTCATGCCTTTGCTACACGAACCACGTCTCTTGTGAAACCTACTATCCGCAAACTAGATCCAGTCTCCGCTGCATCTATCATGTCTCTATCCCTAATAACAAGTTTATGATTTCATATGCCTTAGTCTCTTGTGTGCTAACCCATAAATGTGGTGGTACTGCTTGCTTTGATTAGGTTCAATATTGAACTACAACGTTTGTGGGTTGGCACACAAGAGACTATGGCATAGGAAGTCATAGACTTGGTATCATATATAGAAAGAGGATAGAAGCAGTGGAAGCTAGAGCTAGTTAGCTAAGAAGAGTCGTGATTCAAGGATCACGTCTATGACCAAACACGTCTATTGTTAGCCCAATAGCTTTAGTCTCCACCGCGTCTTTCCTCTTTCTATCTCTAATACCATGTCTATCACATCCTATGTCCTAGTCTCTTGTGTGCCAACCCACAAATGTTGTGATTCTACCTGTTTTGATTAAGCCTACTCAAGAATTCTCCTCTTGGCTTCTTACAATTTATTTTCCTAAAATTAAAGGTGCTACCTTGATCCAATCGTCTTCTTTTTGCTGATCCTACTGTTGCCTGGTCTTCTCATAGTTTATTTAAGCTATATTCAAAATTTTGGCCGATCGTGCCTTCTTCAAGTCTCCTGTTCATTAGATTCCTCTCGGTCAGTATTTCGATGGCCTCTCGGATCTTGCGTTTTTTCGTATTTTCACCACATTCAGACAACCTCTTGGTCGATTTTCAGTCGATTTCGTGTGTTCCGCTATTTCGGATATTTTCGTATCCATGTTCCTGCAGAGTCTTTGATGTTCCTTGATTCGTAGGCCGATTTTTTTTCCTGTTTACCAATATACTTCTGCTCACAGCTGCCGCATTTGATGATATAAACTATTGAGAAATCAAGTTTGCCCGTCTTCTTGTATTGCGTCGGTAAACTGGTGAAAAGTGTTTTATTTTCGTTTGTTATCACCTTAATAACGGTCGAAATTGATGGATCAGTTATGATGAGGGCAGGCTAATCCACTTTTGGTCGTCCTGATTCCTGATCTGATTTTCATAAAATCCGATCTGAACTCTGCCTTTTATAACCTCTACATATTTTTCTATCAATTCTTTGGGGTATCCGTTACTAAGGCAAATCCGTGTCAGTTTGTCCAACTCCTCGTCCCAGAACTCAGTGTCTTTTAGCTTCTGATGATCAAACTCTTCAGTATTCCGATCTTCAGTCTGTAAGTCTCCTCATGACCCATAAAGGGTAGTCGTTCATCCTCCTCCACCTCCATTGTGAATTTAATTCTTTCATCAAATTCGTTAATAAAATTGAGCAGTTCATTTAAATTTTCCTTACCATGTGACCAAAGGGCAAAGTAGTCATCCAAGTATGGCATAAGCACTCTTGGTTGCAGTGGTGACTTCTCGAATACCCTTTCCAGCTTGTCCATGTACACATTTGTCAAAAGAGGTGGCAGTGGAGATCCTATCGGTAGTCCAAATATTTGCTCGTAGATACTGCCGTTAAATATAAAATATGTGGTCCTTATTGTCAGGTTGATCAATCGTGTTAACGATTCTTTCCGTACCCGTTCTGCCTCCAGGATGTCATCTTCTCGCTCCAATATCTCCAACAAGGCGCTTACCGCCTTCTCGTCTGAGATGTCTTTGTACATGGATTGTACATCCAAACTCATCAACAGTTCCGACTCCACCGAACTAATGTCCTTTGAGAAAATTCATATGATTTCTTAAAGGTATTCGAGAGTCTGTCATTTACTTTGTGATTCAACATTGAACCTAATCAAAGCAAACAATACCACAACATTTGTTGGTTA